AATACTGAGCAAATGCTAAGTATTTGGGAACGTGTGATGTGGTGGAAGAAAGGTTTGGGAATCCAGCAAATGATTCTTAAGATACCACCGCATCCACATTTCAGAGCCTTAGCTTTCTCATTTGAGAACAGGGGGAAGAGCTGAAGAGCACTGGGTACAAGTGCATGGTCCGGTTCAACCAGTTTTCCTTCTCTGCCCGTGCCTCCCAGATGAGGGAGAGTGTCGGCCTATGTTGGGAAATAGGACATAGGGTTAGTGGGGACAGCTCTCAGATGGAGAGATGGGGCTTCTGTGAACACCAGCCCACATTCCTACAGCCGTTGCCCAGGGATGATCTTGTTCCCTATTCCCCTCCCTCCTACCCATCATGAAGCCTCTCATCTGCACACCCATCTATCCATCTGTCCATTCATCTGTCTGTCCATCTGTCCATTCATCTGTCTGTCCATCTGTCCATCCATCCATCTGTCCGTCCGTCCGTCCATCCATCCATCTGCCCATTCATCCATCTATCTACTTAGCCATCCATCCATTCATTTGTCCATCCATCCACCCACTCATCTATCCATCCATTCACCTATCCATCCATCTGCTCATCTACCCACCCACCGCCCATTCATCTACCTACTCATCCATCCATTGATCAGTGCATCCATGCATACATCTGTCCATTCATCCACCTACCCATCTATTCATTCATCCATCCATCCATCCTTCCAAGGCAGCTCTCTGCCCCTCCAAGCTCTGCACAGAAGTCTCCAGAAGCCACAGCATTGACCAGTAGTTGTAGTTGAGAGGCCTTCAGTGGCCAGGCAGGTTACAAATGAGAGGAAAGGGGCCTTGGGTTAAACATTAGGGAGTGATAGCAACTGTGGAAAGCTAAAGCATGTATGCCCAGGCTGTGAAGGAATGCAAATTTGGCAGAAATGTTAAGCACTATCTACCAAATAAAACCTACAAAAAGGCAAAAATGGGTCTCTGGCCCTTTTGGAGCTGCCAGAGCAGTGCTAGATGGTTGCTGCAGGTCTCCTGCAGAGAGAGCAGGGAATGCACAGCCCAGATGGGCACCCGCACGAGGCCTGGACACCTTGGCTTTGTGTCCTCCCCTGTATCCCGCAGTCCTGCATTCCTCACTCTTAATTCTATTTTCTTTTTCTTAGATAAGAAAGTATATGAATGCATTCTCTGCCAAATCCAACATTTTAAATCCTGCTGAAGCCTCTGGGCCCCTCTCCTTCAAGGCCCCTCCCAGTTTCCCTCTTCCCATTTCCGTCCATATCTGTCAGTGCACGCCCTGGGAAGCCCGGGCCTGTGATGCCATGTGACATCAAACACGCCCTCAGCACAGCTCACTGCCACTCAGGGACTTTCTCCATGTCCGCATCGGCATGCCTGTTATGGGAGTGTTTTGAGGAAGCAGCCAAGGCTTTAGCGGAAAACCACCCAGGAAAGCTTTACCAGAGAGTCCTCCACCACAGCAATGCCCCTGCTCCCTCCTCATCAAACAAGGGCAGTTTTGCAAACATTTCCATGAGAAATCAGGCACCCACCTTACAGTCCTGATATGGCTCCTTCTGACTTCTTGTTTCCTAATCTTAAAAAAAATCTTTGAAGGGCACCTTTCTTCAGTTAATAATGTGAAAAATATGGCATCGCCGTGGTCAAATTCCCAGGACCCTCAGTTCTTGGAGGAGATGAATGGCTGTTCTCGCTCACCAAAGTGTCTTGACCTTGATGGAACTTAAACATAGAGAAAGAAAGTTTCTGTTTCTTATTTTTATCCTTGAATTCCATTGTCCATGAACATTTTGAAATCGCGAGTGTCGATCTGCACATACGTGCTGTGTATGTATGTATTTGGCTGTGTGCATGTGTGTGTGTGTGCATGTGTGGAATCTCCCTCCTTCCTCACCTCCCAGTGCCCAACACAGGTCCATCCACCCAAAGGGTAGAAGTCAGCCCTTGTTGAATTAAACCCCTGCCAGTTCACCCCATCCTCATCGCCCCTATTCCCTACCACAGAGGGCTGCTGTGACGATTGTCCATGCACTTGGGTGTCATTTCCTCCGACAGCAGTGCTAGAGGGCTCCGCCTTCGCTGACACCTGCAGATTGCAGTGCTCCCCAGCAGGTGGCAGCAGCCGCCCAACTGTCTGTTTTCCGTTGCTTGGTCTTGGTTTCCTGTGTCTGTGCTCTTGGTCCATTTCTGTCTCCAGGGCGAGGCCAGTAAGAGCTGACTGGGGCAAGGCATGACTTCTCCATAAAATCGATGATGTCCTAGCAACAAGATTTCCTCAGCCTGCCGGATGCCAGACACTGTTCTGGGGACGTTATACACACTAACTCCTGGCCCTGCAACAGCACTAAGATGTCTGTCTGATCAGTATACCCATTTCATAGATGAGGAAACTGAGGCACAGGAGGTAACGTCATGTCCACAGGGCTGGAGGCTGGAAAGCGGATCTGCTGGCATTCCAGGCTGCCAGCCTCAGGGACCTCCCCGTCACACTGCCTTCCAGGGATGGGATTTGTTTTGGGGTGGTGGGGGAGCCAGCATTGTGCTGGGAGACTAAAGAGTAGGATGAAAGGGTTTCTTATCTGGGGTCATCAATTTTTTTTTTTTTTTTTGAGACAGACTCTCACTTTCGCCCAGGCTGGAGTGCAGTGTCCCCATCTCAGCTCACAGCAACCTCCAGCTCCTGTGCTCAAGCGATTCTCGTGCCTCAGCCTCTCAAGTAGCTGGGATTACAGGCGCACACCACCATGCCCAGCTAATTTTTGTATATTTCGTAGAGATAGGGTTTTGCCATGTTGGCCAGGCAGGTCTCAAACTCCTGCCCTCAGATGATCCACCTGCCTTAGCCCCCTAAAGTGCTGGGACTACAGGCATAAGCCACACCGCACTTGGCCTGGGGCCATCAATTTTCAAAAGAAAACCCTTCACTTTTGTCACCCTTAAAGATGGAGGAGACCTATGGTCGTCCCATGGTTTCAGCAACGGAGGAAGGTCTCTGGCTCTGATTACAGACTTCCTGGGAGGCCTGTCTTGAACTCCTGGCCTCAAGTGATCCACCTGCTTCAGCCTCCCAAAGTGCAGGGATCACAGACATGAGCCACTGCGCCCAGCCTCCAACTTCGCTCCCCCATGTTTATGAGCTGAGTTCCCTTCAAAGGTGGGATTCTAAGGAGCCTCGTCTGCTCCAGTCCAGAGCACCCCCTATCTGGCCTCAGTCAGGCCCTCCCCAGCCATCCGTGTTCCCCTCCCTTACCCAGCGAGCTCTGGGTGCAGGAAAGCTGTGGTAGTTTCCTGAGAGCCTGTGGCTCAGGTGGCACCCACAGGTGGCTCCTGGAACCTGCCGCCCCCAAGAGGGTGTGAAAACCACAGCACATCTGGACCCGAGTCCCTAGGGTGCAGGTGTGGATGTAGGGGTGGTGAGGGCTGCTTCCCCATGCAGAAGCTGTGCTTCCACTCTCTCCCATCCGAGTCTCACACCCCCCCCCCCGATCCCAGGCTCACAGTCCCACTCATAATCATCAGCGTTCTAGAACCTTCCAGTCCCCTCCTGGGCACCGAAGACTCATGCATTCTCTCAGCAACCTCTCCCAACTACCCCACTTCACAGATGAGTCACAAAAGAGCCTTCGACAGGACTGCTGCTGACTTCCAACTCAACCCTGCTCCAAAAGCCAGAGCTGGCTCCTCCACCACAGCCCTGTAGCCTGCAGTCTGGCCTTTGGGGAGGACAGTGGGACCGGATCAGGGTGGGGGGTCCTCCTCTAGGTTCCGAGACTCCCCAGGGTGCAGGTGCAGGGGGTGGAAATATTTGGTGAACATCATAATGACTTCCATCCTCATATCTAAATGGTCCGGGAGAAACGTGGTTTCAGGCATGGCTGGATCCAGGAGCTCAAGAGCTATTACCAGGACTATGTCTCCATCTCACAGGCTCTGGAGCTGAATCACACTTTCTGCTGCTGTAACCTTGCTTGGTCTTCAAAAACCCAAGCCACTTCTAAGATGGGCACCCTTTGGGAGAAAACAGCATATTTCCTTTAAAAATGTGTGTGTGTATGTGTGTGTAGAGAGAGAGAGAGAGGGGGGAGAGAGATGAGTTTTATGCAGTACCTAGCACCTACATCTAGCTTCTATATTAAACTGATATTCGGTGAGGTGCCTTGAGAATGTTGCTAAGGGGCTGGGTGTGGTGGCTCACGCCTATAATCCCAGCACTTTGAGAGGCCAAGGCAGGCAGATCATTTGAGGTCAGGAGTTTGAGACCAGCCTGGCCAATATGGTGAAGCCCTGTCTCTACTAAAAATACAAAAAATAGCCAGGTGTGGTGGTGTGTGCCTGTAATTCCAGCTACTGGGGAGGCTGAGGCAGGAGAATCGCTTGAACCTGGGAGGAAAAGCCTGCAGTGAGCCGAGATTGCACCACTGCACTCCAGCCTGGGCGACAGACTGAGACTCTGTTTCAAAAGGAAAACAAAATGTTGCTAAGAAGTATTTTTTTAGCTTCTTAATTCACATTTCAACAGATTCTCTGACAAATCATTGACACACAACTTGACCTCCCTCTAATTCTCCAGGATGAACAAATAAGAGGCTGGATTGAATTGCTGAATTGGGGCAGCGTGGCGGGGCACAGCAGGAAGTGCAGCTGGAGGGCATTGCCTGGTTTCGGCCTGCACCCTCCCTCCACGAGTGCCGTGGGGGGAGGGTCCCATGAGCCTTGGCCTGGCACATAATTGGTGTTTAACAAATATCTTTTGTGTGCACAAACGGAATTTTTTAAAACTTAGTAGCAGAAGTCAGAAAAAGAAATCTTGGTTGCTGGGGAGCTGTTTCCAAGAGATGAGACGGACTAGTTTTAAGCCTGGAAACCCCCCCAAGTGGCCCTCCGCAGACGGGCCAGCCCCACGGGCGCCCAGGCTGTCGGGGATGATGGGTGTTCTCATCCCCGCCCACCTCCTGTGCAAGCCTCCTCTGTGGTCACAGAAGGAAGGAAGCTGACGTATACTGAGGGTCTGCTCAGGGCTGTGTACTATATACACAGGTGACATCACCAGTTTCCCCCAGGTAGGTCATGCCTTCCACATTGTCTGGACAAAGAAACTCTAGCCCAGAGAGGGGAGGCAACTTGGCTCAGGTAGCACAGCCAGAAGGTATCAGAGTCTGGATTCAGACTTTCCTACATGGGTCACCCAAAATCTTCCCAACCCGGGGTGGGGTCACCGTGGGCTCACTGCAACCCCTTTCCCTTCCTGCTGGCAGGTGACAAGGAACCATATGGACTTCTTGCAGCTCCTGGAGGCAGATGCTGGAGGGCTGGGCTTGGCCTCTGCCGCAAGCAATGCCCTGATCCCACAAGGCCCTGGAGGGGCCGTGGACTAGTTTGTGACACAAGACCCTGGCAAGGATGAAGGCTGTTGTCATCTGTTGCCCACAGACACGTTTGCTGTGCACACTGGTACACTCGGGTGAGCTCCCTGGGCCCAGAATGCATACAGTACCATGGGCATTCTCCAGGCCCACAGGCATATGCAATCATACTCACACGTGGACATGTCACTGTGCCCGCACCTGAGAGACACACACACACACACATGCACATGCACATGCACCAACACACACTCAAACATATGCACCTACACATGCACACACATGCATGCATACATATGTACCCACACATACACATACATGCAAACACACCTACACATGCACCAACACACATGCACACACATGCACCTACACATGCACACACACAGGCACACATGCACATTCATGCACTCATGACATACATGCACACACACATGCACACACACAGACACTGTAAACGTCAGGCTCGAAGGCCCATCTGGGAGCCCAAAGGCTGCAGGTGTCTTCAGTCACAGCCTAGGTGACCTTGTCTCTGGCTCAGGGCCCGGTAGCCAGTGGCCAGCTCTGGACAGCCAGTCAGCCTCACTAGCTGGCCTGGGGTCCAGGGCTTGAGAGTGGCGAGGGAATGATCACCCACTGGCGGAGGTAGCTCCGGGGGGGGCCTTCATCCCCGGGACTGGTGAAGTCACACTCCACAGGGCTGCTGCAGTCAGAGCCCGCGAAGCCACTGTCAAACGTGTCCATATCCAGGCCAGCCGGGGGCGAGCCCGCCTCACTCTCTAAGGCCCGTCCGGGTGACCGGCCACCCCAGGGCAGTCCCCCAGCCCAGTCCTCCCCATCTGCAAGGGGTGGCTTTAGTCTGTCCAGGAGGCTTCCCAGGGGCCCTCCTAGCCCAGGACTGCCAGCCGAGACACAGCCACAGGAGAGGACTGTGGTGCCCGCATCCAAGAGTGGGTCCTCTAGGCCTGGGCTGGGCTCAAGGCCGGTGTCCAGATCCAGGGCTGGGTAGCCGTCATCCTCACAGCTGCAAGGCCCGGTGCACAGTCCCTCTGCATCTAGTACAGTCACTGTGTCGATGGACAGCAGGCCGTATGGCCGGTCCCCCTCCTCGCTGTAAGCTAAGCCCCCAGAGTTCTGGGCCATGGCCCAGGAGCTGGGCTTGGGTGCGCTATCAGACTCCACCAGCTCTGCCGGTTCTCGAAGCTCTGTGAGCTGCAGCCTCTTGGCCGAACTCCGTGGTAGGCGGCAACTGTACACCTCCAGGGCTGAGGGCACCTCTGGGCTCCAGGGTCCCAGCTCCAGGATGGAGGCAGTGAGGGGTGCACCCACCCATTTCTGTGAGAGAGAAAAAGAGAGCGAGTCATAACACAGGACGAGGGTAAGGCGAAGGTTTTCTTATTTTTCTACTTTTATTCTTTTCAGACAGTCTGACTCTGTTGCCCAGGCTGGAGTGCAGTGGTGCCATCTTGGCTCACTGCAACCTCTGCCTCCCAGGTTCAAGCGATTCTCCTGCCTCAGCCTCCCAGGTAGCTGATACTAATAGGCATGCACCACCACACCCAGCTAATTTTTGTATTTTTAGTAGAGATGGGGTTTCACCATATTGGCCAGACTGGTCTTGAACTCCTGACCTCAGGTGATCCACCTGCCTTGGCCTCCCAAATTGCTGGGATTACAGGGGTGAGCCACTGCACCCCAGCCAAGGTGAGGGTTTAAACTGACAGAAAGACACAGATGCAGAGACAAAGAGACATCAAGAGAGAGACATGAAAGCAGACTAAAGACACTCAGAGAGGAGCTGGGGAGAGAGAGAGAGAGGGAGGGAGGGAGGGAGGAAGGAATCAGGACCATGATGTGCTCCCACTATAGTGGGGGTCCCCACTGGTGTCCCCTCCTACTCTGGGCCTCAGTTTCCCCACTTGTAGAAGGGAGTTGCTACCCTTAGTAGCCTGACCATTCAGACAACTGGTGGCCCCATAGCCCCGGCAGGGGCTAAGATTCATGAGTCAAGGAGACATGAGGGCAGGAGGGCCTGAGGTCTGAGTGACACCTGAGCCATCTCCTCCTTTCCCTCCTCCTTGATGTTTCTTGAAACCCAGCACTCTCCTGGTTTATGTATCCCTACCAGACAGACACTTGGCCCCAGGCACAAGTCTTGTCTCTTCCATCCATGGCTGTATCCCCAGTGCCTAGCACACAGTAGGTACTCAATAAATGTTTATTAATGAATGAGTGGAGTGAATCAGTGAAAAGCTACTTGGAAAGGCCTTTGTACACTTTGAGGATAAAAGATGTAGGTGATGCTGGCTGAGGCAGTGGCCCTTACATTTGAAGGACCCTCCTTCCCTCCCTTGCTGGGACTCCCACTCATGACACCAGAATCCTCATGCAATTGGCAAGGAAAATCCCTGAGAATGGGAATCTCCCTGTTTTGATCTCATCTTCCTCAAAAACTCATCTCAGAACCGTCATGTAGCCACCAATACTGAGTTGAAGTCACTTCTCAGCTGTGTGCCCTTAAGCCAATTACCCTCTCCGTGCCTCAGTTTCCTCATCTGGAAAATGGACCTAATTATAGCACCCACCCATAGGGTCGTTGTGAGGGTTAATTGAGTCACTGTATGTGATGCTCCTAGGGGACTCCCTGGTATATAGCAAGTGCTATATGAGTCTTGGTAAAAATCAACCCAAAATAAATGTGATATTTGAGCTTTAGGGAAGAGGAAAGGGTGGGTTTTATGTGGGTTGGAGTCCAGGTTCCTCCCTGCCTGTTCTGAGCCTTGGCCTCCTCGTGGGTGCCCTGGGGGCAGTGGAACACCCACTCCACAGGGGCTGCTCTATGAGAATGAGTGAGGCAGCAAGGGTATCCAGCACAGCACCAGGCAGAGAGGAGGAGCCCAATCAGTGCTCTAGGCCTATACTGTCTGACTTTCAGGCTCGGCTGCAGCAGGCGGGACTGCCCCTCCCACCTCTGTCACCACATCCTCTCTGCAGCAGCTCCTCCCACTGCTTCAGGGTGGGTGACACAGCTGTAAATGGACACAGACAATCCTGTGGGTGCTGGTGAGTGGTGGTGAGGTGGAGGCTTGGCAAAGATTAGTGTGTTTTGCCCTGGGAGGCCAGACCCTTCCCAGAACCCACTCCCTCTCCAACCCAGATTAAGTGCACCTGAGAAAGGACCAGGCGGGTAGGGGGAGCGGCAATCTGTGACTTGAGACCACCAGCCTCACTCCCTCTCCCAGTCTGGCTCTTTGCGCTGGGCAATGCTGCATGCTCTTGTTTAACGTTTCTTTTTGATTTGATTTTTTTTAGACAGTGTCTGTCTGTTGCCCAGACTGGAATGCAGTGGTGTGATCGTAGCTCACTGCAGCCTAGGAACGATCCTCCTGCCTCAGCCTCCCAATTAGCTGTGACTACAGGCATGTACCATCTGGCTTGAATGATTTTTAAACTTTTTGTAGAGATGGGGAGGCGGAGTGGTCGTAGAGGGTCTCCCTATGTTGCTCAGGCTGTTCTCAAGCAATCCGCCTGCTTTGGCCTCCCAAAGTGCTGGGACTGCAGATGTGAGCCACCGTACCAATTCACCCATTCACAGTCCTAGCAGTGAACTCTCCCTGCAGGACTGGGCATATCTCAGGAGTGGCAATGGTCTGGCAGGGTCCCAGGCAATGCATACTTTTGGAATTCTTCAACAGTTGAAGAATACCTGGTCAAATCTTGTTTAATTCTCCTGCCAATTCTGCACCACAAGAATAACTGTCTGCACTTGGCACGTGGGGAAACTGAGGCCTGGCTTGTGGCTTGACTGAGCTCTGGATGCTCTAGGCCTGTGGGGTAAGACTGGGGCACCTGGGGTGAGGGGAGGTGGGGCTCCTGAAGAGGAGGAGGGGCTCAGAGGGACTCATCACAGGGTGGGGTGCTCACCTTGAAGTCTCCTCCGTAGCACTTGTACAGAGGCAGGAAGAAATTCTCGGGGCTGGGGACGACCCATGTCTTCTTCCACAGCCTGAGGGGTAGAAAGGGTGAGGCCCCTGACTCACCAGAGGCCAGCCTGGCTTCCCATTCGGACACTCCCCAGATTTATCCTACAGGAGCTTCTGAGTATCACAAGACACAGCCCAGGCACCTCCCTCCTTCCCCAGGGCTTGGTTCCCCCATCTGGGAGCAGTGAGTCTCCCTTGCAGGCTCCTGAAGGAGTATTGAGATTATGTTCTTGGCTGCCTGTGCTGTGCTGGGCAAATGCTGCCCCTTCTGAGCCTCAACTTCTTTATCTGCAACTAGGAGTGCACAGAGAGGCCATTTCAGAGGTGTGAAGTATTGCACCCACCTCTTCACCACTACCTGGTGGCCCCTGATGCCCCGAGGCATCAAAGCTTAGAATCCACTGGACGAGATCACAGCTGAGGTCCCTATTTAAGAGCCCAGAGTTTCAATCCCAATTTCTCCACCTCGGAGCTGTGTGACTTTGGGCAAATTCCTTGACCTCTCCATGCCTCAGCTTCCCCATTTGTAAAACAGGGGCAACTGCAGCGTCCCAAGCTCATAGGGCTGCCATGGGAGTGAAGTTAGTGCCCTGCATGGTGTCCAGCACGCAGCGGCTGTGAGCTGGTTACTATCCCTTCGCTGTCATTGTGATCATGATGGCAGGCATGTTCTCCAACCGTGGGTGTGCCATAGAGGGGCAGCGGCCCAGCCCGACCACCTCCCTGCCTTCCTCATGGTCTCACCTCCAGGCTGGGTGGGTCTTCAGGCCCCAGAAGGCAGGAATGAAGACTATGACAAGCAGGAGGAGAAGGAGCAGGTGAGGGTTCCAGCCTTCCTTTAACTCTAGGAGGGAAGCAAAGGGTTAAAGGGCACCAACTCTACCAGAGGCCACATGGGGTGGGCATGGTGGGAAATGGGTCTGGGGTAGAGTGGAAAGGGGTGGGAGAGGCTGCCACTGCTAGTGTCTTGAAGTGAGATGGTTCAAATCTTGTTCTCATTCCTCATCCCAGGCAAGTAACTTCATTTCTCTGAGCCTCAGTTATCTCATCTGAAAAATGGGGCTGTTCCCACTTCAGAGTTAGGGGTATCAAATGCCTAAGAGAAGAAGCAGCAGCTGGCATCCAGCACAGGGCCTGGCCAGCAGGGGCTCTAGAAATGGCACTGAGGGGCTACAACTGTGCCAGACAGCTCAGGGCTCACTGTGGCTACACCAGGACAAGATTTGGTACCAGGAGTGGGGTGTCCATCCCAGCTTCACACCTACCCTCTGACTGGGTCTGAAAGATGACTGGGTCACTCCACTCGCTCCAGGTCCCCTGGTAGGAGGAGCCAGGCATGGGCCCTGCTCGCACCTGTAGCTCATAGCTGGAGTCTTTGCGGAACTCCAAGGGGAGGAGGGAGACACTTCTTGAGTCCACTGAGATCAGCTTTCTCCTTGGACTCTGCCAGTACAAGGAAAGGACACACCAGGTCAGGGCACAACAAGGCCAGCCCCTGCCTCCAGCAGAGCCACCTCTTTTCCAGCTTCCACCGGAGGGACTGAGCATCTCTTTTCTTCCCACAAGAATCAGGCCTATGCCTGAGTAGCTGGGCTCAGGCATGGGCAGCACAGACTCACCAGCACTGCCTGGCCCTTGCCTGTGATAGGCTGTTCTGTTTGATTTCTCTTTGATTCCAATTCACCCATTCATGGTCCTGGCAGTGAACTCTCCCTGCAGGACTGGGCATATCTCAGGAATGGCAATGGTCTGGCAGTATCCCAGGCAATGCATACTTTTGGAATTCTTCAACAGTTGAAGACGTTCTCAACTGATGCATTGGTATAAGTCTCAATACATCAATTGAGAGTGTCTTCAACTGTTGAAAATCCCAAGAGCTGACATCCTGACATTCCCAACAGTGGGCATTTCTAGAAGTCTTGAACTACAGACATCTTAGCAATAGATACCTCTGGGAATCTTCCACTGGGAACTTTCTAAAGTATGGTACTCATGGACATCTTCAGCTGGGACTATTCTAAAGGATGGGCAATTCTAGAACTGTTCAGCTGTGACTGTTCTATCATTATTACTATTTTTAGTTTTTAGAGACAGGGTCTCACTGGTGACTGTTCTAAATAGCGGGCTGGAAGGACACCTCTCAAAGCCTTCATGTTTGAAGCAATGAGCGCGCTAACACTGGACTTTTTTTTCTTTTTTGAGATCGAGTCTTGCTCTGTTGCCCATGCTAGGGTGCAGTGGCACAATCCCAGCTCACTGCAACATCTGCCTCCTGGATTCAAGCAATTCTCCTGCCTAAGCCTCCAGAGTAGCTGGGATTACAGGTGCATATCACCACGCCCGGCTACTTTTTGTACTTTTAGTAGAAACAGAGTTTCACCGTGTTGTCCAGGCTGGTCTCGAACTCCTGACCTCAAGAAATCCACCTGCCTTGGTCTCCCAAAATGCTGGGATTACAGGCGTGAGTCACTGCACCAGGCTGGACCTTCTTAATCACTGATACTTCTGGAACTCTCCAGCTATGGCCATTCTAAGCAAGTGGGAAGCTTCCAGATTGCCACGTGCCTGAAATTTCTTCTGTTGTGACTACACTAGACCTGGGGTGGAGCCCGGGAAAGTGACAGTCTCTTTGGCATGCTGACAGTGGAGAGGACAGATTATTCAGGGGTCTCCTACCTTGGGGAGAAGTGAGGGGAGGGAGGAGGGCCTGCTCTAAGGGAGCGCTCGTGCCCTTGGTCTCTGTTCTTGGCCATGAATGATGATGCTCACCCGTCTCTCCCACACAGATGCCCTTGTACTCCCTTCTCTACCCTTCCCTTCACCCACATAGCTGCACAGATCCCCACATTCCTCACCACAGCCCAGGGGTCTCCCCGGTTCCTGTACTGCAGCTCATATTGAAGCTTGCCCTTCAACATGAAGAAGTCGGGGTCTTCGTAATCCGAGCGCCAGGAGATATTATACTGTCCTGAGAAGGTCACGGTCACGTTGAAAGGGGGAGCCGGCTTGACTGGGTGGAGAAACCCAGGAAGGGAAAATGGCGTGAGATTTTGCTGCAGGTGAAAAGGATTTGCTGATGGGAAGAAGTTCTACCTGCCCCCGCCCCTGCCATCATGCCTGACCCATGAGATGGAGACAACCCTGAGTGACTTTGCCCAAAGTACTCCTGACTCTGGGCTTCCGTGTATTCTTCTGGAACTTGAGAGATTTAGACTTGATCAGGGTTGCAAACTCAGGGGCGGGCAGGTCACAGAGATGGGTGAAGCAGGTTTAGGGATTGTGAAGAAATTAAAGAGTTAAAAGTGAATGGCTCCAGCAACAGAGAGTGGTCAGCTTTTCTAAGTTTTCTAGGGAAACACACACATGCACACACACACAGGCAATAACATACACACACACATGCACACTCACGCATGCCCACACGCCCATATGCACATGTATGCAAGCACATGCACACATGCACACACACATGCATGCACACGCATACATAAATGCACACACACACATGAAATCCAAAATCCTGCTTTCTATGCACTGAAGGGCAAGTTTCAGTATGAACTGCAGAATGGGAAACAGGAGGCCCCCGGAATTATCGTGTGAAATCTCACAAGGATTTTTTCCCCTTAGAGACACAATCTCACTGTGTGGTCCAGGCTGGAGTGCAGTGTTGCAATCATAGCTCACTGCAGCCTCAACCTCCCGGGCTCAACCCATCCTTCGACCTCAGCCTCCCAAGTAGTTGGGACTACAGGTGGGTGCTACCACACCTGGCTATTATTTTTTCTATTTTGTACAAATGGGGTCTTTCTATGTTTGCCCAAGCTGGTCTCAAACTTCTGACTTCAAGTGATCCTCCCACCTCAGCCTCTCAAAATGCTGGAATTGCAGGTGCAAGCCACTGTATCCAGCCTATCTTAAGTTTTAAAGTTAGCTACCCATCCAAAAATGTTCTCAGCGATGTGCTGGCAAATCCATTCATTTTCCATTTCTGTTCTAAATGATGGTATCATTTTCTTTCAACCCCAGCTACTTCAAGAAGTTGAAGATTCTTCTTAGCATGAATGCTAATGATGAGGGTTGCCATTTACTCAGAGCCTGCCTGGCTGCCCTGCTCTGGGCACACACCCCACAATGGCCCTGGGAGGCCGATCTGATGGTCCTCATCTTTCAGCATCTCCCAGCAAGTGCAAGAGCCAAGCTCTGGGCCGTAACAGTAAGTTTCATGGACAGCCTCAAGATGAAGGTCAAAGCTGGCATTCTAGTTTTGCTCCATCTGAAGGATATTTCGTGCACTTGAGCAGAACATAATATGTTAAGGGCCTTAAATTCCTCTTTTGTAAAATGGGCGCAGCTTCTGTATCATGAGACTTCAAGTTCAAAGGGATGAAGCTATTTAGCAGGAGGCAGTAACTCAGGGAAACCAAGTGACAAGTGTCCATTAGTGTCAGAGAGGAGTTGCCGGCCTCTGACCTCATCTTCTCCACTTTCTCTCTTTGCCTGCCTCCCTCCCTCCCTCCCTCTCTTCCTTCATTCTTTCCCTCCTTCTCCTCCCTCCCTCCCTCCCTCCCTCTCTCTTCCTCCCTCTCTTCCTTCCTTCCTTTCCTTCCTTCCTTCCCCTCCCTCCCTCTCTCTTCCTCCCTCCCTCCCTTCCTTCCTTTCTTATCTTTCTATCTCTCTTTCTTTCTTTTCTCTCTTCTTTCTTTTCTTTCTTTTATTTTGGACACAGAATCTTTCTCTGTCACCCAGGCTGGAGTGCAATGGCATGATCTCAGCTCACTGCAATCTCCGCCTCCCAAGCACAAGCAATTCCATGGCCTCAGCCTCCCAAGTAGCTGGAACTATAGGTGCGCACCACCACGCCTGGCTAATTTTTGTATTTTTAGTAGAGACAGGGTTTCCCCATGTTGGCCAGGCTGGTCTTGAGGCAACCAACCTCAAGTGATCTGCCTGCCTCAGCCTCCCAAAATGCTGGGATTACAGGCATGAGCCACCAGACCTGACAATCTTCTTGACTTTCTATCTGCCACCATCTAGCACTCCGCACGTCTCACCCTGTGATGTTTTTCCCGTGTGCCCCCCTCGCTGGACTCTTAGCTCCTTGGGGTGGAGGTTTTGTCCTCCGCATCCAGTCCGTGCCCACAGCTCCTGGGACACAGTAGGCCCTCAATAAATATTTGGCAAATTAGGCTGGGTGAGGCAGCTCATGCCCCAAATCTCAGCATTTTGGGAGGCTGCGGAGGGAGGATTGCTTAAGGCCAGGGGTTTAAGACCAGCCTGGGCAACATAGCAAGATCCCAGCTCTACAAAAAAATTTAAAAATTTGCCAGGCATGGTGATGTGCACCTGTAGTCCCAGCTACTCAGGAGGCTGAACTGGGAGGACCGCTTGAGCCCAGGAGTCCCAGGCTGCAGTGGGCTGTTATATATTCATATACATTTGTCAAATTAACAAATGAACCTTTCAAGGCTTCCAGAAAGGAGCTCTGAGGCTGCCTGTGATCCTGAAACATGGCTGAGGGCTCCCACCACACCCCGAGGTGACAGAGGTGCAGGTTTTTTTTTTGTTTTATCTTGTTTTGTTTTAGTTTGGTGGGGATGGAGTCACGCTCTGTGGCCAGGCTGGATCTCAGCTCACTGCAACCTCTGCCTCCTGGGTTCAAGCGATTCTCCTGCCTCAGCTTCCCAAGTAGCTGAGACTACAGGCATAGGCCACCATGACCAGGTTTTTTTTTTTTTTATTTTTAGTAGAAACAGTGTTTCACCATGTTGGCCATCATGGTCTTGATCTCTTGACCTTGTGATCCGCCCACCTCGGCCTCCCAAAGTGCCAGGATTACAGGTGTGAGTTACTGCGCCGGGCCGAGGTGCACATTTTACAGAATGCCACGGTGAGTCCTGGGTTGTTGCTGTTGCTGTTCCAGCGATGGGATGTATGTGACTGAAATCGTTTCTAACCCCTTTTGCCTTCCCTGGAGCAGGTGGAGGCCGGCTCTGGGCTTCCCTGTGTGGCCTGGGTGAAGACCAGTCCCAGTAGACACCACGGTACTGAGAACTGCCCCATGGGTGCTCCGGAGATGTTTGCAAAGCCTGGGGATTGGGAAGGGGGGCTGCTCAGCCCAGCGAGGCCTGGGGCCCAGGAGGAGGAAGGGACCCTGTGCAGGCAGCAGTCAGAAAATCAGTTACTGGCTGGGTGTGGTGGCTCATGCCTGTAATTCCAGCACTTGGGAGGCCGAGACGGGTGGATCATGAGGTTAGGAGTTTGAGACCAGCCTGGCCAACACAGTGAAACCTCATCTCTACTAAAAATACAAAAAATTAGCTGGGCGTGGTTGTGGGCACCTGTAATCCCAGCTACGTAGGAGGCTGAGGCAGGAGAATCGCTTGAACCTGAGAGGTAGAGATTGCAGTGAGCCGAGGTTGCGCCACTGTACTCCAGCGCTGGTGACAGAGCAAGACTCTGTCTCAAAAAAAAAAAAAGAAAAGAAAATCACTTACCGCCCCAGCTGGGCCCAGGGTAGCTGCAGATCCTGGCAGGGAGGGAGGGGATGCCAGAGAGAAATGCTAGGATTTACGCTGCAGGAGAAGTGGCAAGAAGGAGTCCCTTCTCTGCACTGAGTTCTCCTCTGCTTCTGAGAAGCTGTGGGGGTGAGGGGTGTGGGGCGGCCTGGGCGGTGGGGCTGCTGCCTGCCTTGGTTCACTCAGAGAGGCTGGAGGGGCCCCTGCTCCAGATGGTGTATGCATGTGCGGGGGAACTCATGTTCTGGATCCCAGATCCGTGGGACTAAGAGAGTGTGTGTGAGTGTGAGTGTTGTATGTGTGTGCATGTGTGCACATGTGTGACAGGGTGCATGTGTGAGTGTCCACCTGTGTGCACATGTGTAAGAGAGTGCATGTGTGCCTGATGTGGATGTATGTGTTAGTGTGTGCATGTGTGCATGATGTGAATGTATGTTAGAACATGAGTGTTAGAATGTGTGTGTGCGTGGGTGTGTGTGCATGTATGTGTATGTGTGTGTGAGTGTGTCTGTGGGGGTGGGGAGAGAGAGAGCAAGAGAGGCTGGGCACAGTGGCTCATGCCTGTAATCCCAGTACTTTGGGAGGCCGAGGTGGGTGGATGGCAAGGTCAGGAGATCGAGACCATCCTGGCCAACGTGGTGAAACCCCATATCTATTAAAAATACAAAAATTAGCTGGGCACAGTGGTGTATGCCTGTAATCCCAGCTACTCAGGAGGCTGAGGCAGGGGAATCGTTTGAACCTGGGAGGTGGAGGTTGCAGTGAGCTGAGATGGCGCCACTGCACACCAGCCCAGGTGACAGTGGGAGACTCTGTCTCAAAAAAAAAAAAAAAAAAGAGAGAGAGAGGGCAAAAGAGAGAGACAGTGTGGGCCTCTGTCCTCTCCATGCTGGCTGGGGCTGGGGAGACATCTGTGAGTCTGAGGGTGTATCTCTGAGTCTGTGTGTTTGTGAATCCGTGACCCTGGGAATGTGTGTGAGTGTGCATGTGCTGAGAGTGTTTACTCTCGCCCTCTGTGGTGTGACACCCACTCAGCTAAGAGGTGCAAACCTGGCCTCCCAGAGTGTGAATCACAGACACCTTCTTATCACCCAGCCCCTCCGCTGGGAATCTTAGGGCAGAAATTCCCAAGCTCAGGGGTGGGGCCTCCCCAGGACAGGCTCTTTTTGCAGCATGTGTTTGCCTCTGGGGCTGCTTTGGGTACACACACACACACACACACCATGCCCACCACACCAAAGCTACCTTCCAGGCCCTTCCATGGCCTGCCCTGGTTTTGTTTTGTTTGAGATGGAGTCTCACTCTGTTGCCCAGGCTAGAATGCAGTGGTGTGATTGTGGCTCACTACAACCTCTGTCTCCCAGGTTCAAACAATTCTCCTGCCTCAGCATCGCAAGTAGATGGGATTACAGGTGTGCGCCACCACGCCTGGCTAATTATTTTGTGTTTTTAGTAGAGACGGGGTTTCACCTTGTTGCCCAGGCTGGTCTCGAACTCCTGACCTCAAATGATTGACCTGCCTTGGCTTTCCAAGGGGTTACAGGAATGAGCCACCATGCCTGGTTCCTGCCCTGGTTCTCGTTTTGTGTTGTTTTGAGATGAGGTCTCACTATATTGCCCAGGCTGGTCTCGAACTCCCAGGTTCAAGCAATTCTCCTGCCTCAGCCTCCCGAAGTGTTGGAATTCCAGGTGTGAGCCACCTCGCCCTGCCACCTGCCCTGGTTCTGAACTCACAGATACAACTGCTCCTACCAACCAGGCCCTCCTACTCCTGGGACCCCCCTCTACCTACACCCTGGAGGGAAGTTCCAGGCCTCCCTGGAGCTTATGAAGGGGAAGAAACCCAGGAGGGTTTTTTTCTGTGACTCAGTGTCCTCCACTCACCTTATTTTGGGGACAGGATCCCAGAGAGTCAGGGTTAAAAGGACATTTGCTCTACAAGTAGGGAAGCTGTCCCAGAGGTAGGTGTGCCTCATCCATGGTCACACAAAGGGGCAGGGCTGAGCCAGAACATGAGCCCAGAAGTCCCAGGTCCCAGACCAGCTCCTTCCATATTGCTCAAACCTAATTATCAACCCTTCACACTTTAGTAAAAAATAGTGCAACTCAAAAGCAGAACTCTAAGACATGAGGAGGACGTAGGCCAGGTTAGATCTGATGGAAGGGAAACAGCTGGCTCAGAGGGCAGCAAGTAGGGGGCCCAGCCCCCACCTATAATCCTAGCACTTTGGGAGGCCAAGGCAGGTGGATCACTTGAGCCCAGGAGTTTGAGACCAGCCTGAGCAACATGGCAAGACCCCGTCTCTACTAAAAATCCAAAAATTAGCTGGGCATGGTGGCGCACACGTGTTGTCCCAGCGACTCTGGAGGCTGGGGTGGGAGGATACCTGAGCCTGGAGAGGCTGGGGCTGCGGAGCGCTAAGATTGAGCCCCACCCTAAGCCTGGGGGCTCAGGATACTCACTGCTCTCAGCCAGGACAAAGCTGCCACACTCCTGGGAGTAGTTGCCAGACTGATCTGTGATGTTGACACTGAAAATGTCATCAGCCATGAAGTGGAACACATCCATGTGGCAGGTATACGTGGCATGCGTGGCGTTGTGGGCCGACCTGTGGAGGCTGCAGGAGGTGACCTCGTCCTTCAGCTCTTCATACTGGTCTTGCCTTCAAGGACAGAGCAGCCGGTCATGGCTGGAAGCCGGGAGCAGGGGGATGGCGGTGGTTCAACGCTCAGGGCACGGGCAGAAGCTTAGACTCTCAGGACTGGGAGGGATTTGAGACGGGGTTGCGGGGGTCACCTGGTCCAACCAACCTTTTCCCAGGGAAGGTATCCCCTCTCCTGCACCATCCCCGATGAGTTGTGTCCAGGTTCAGCTTGCATACCTCCCCGGGACTGGGAACTCACTACTTCATTTAGGGCAGCAGCTCTCAGTTTTGGAAACTTGGGCCATTCTTTCTTGGACCAAGCCTAAATTTGTCCCAGTGGGTCCCAACAACCAGATGGCTGTCCCACAGGAAGGGCGCTAGGTATTTTGGGTTTCCTTCTCTCCTTTCTGTCCAATGTCCACTTTTTGGAGACAGTCTCACTCTATCCCCCAGGCTGGAATGTCATGGTGTGATCATGGCTCACTGCAGCCGCGACCTTCCCTGGCTCAGTTGATCCTACCTCAGCCTTCTGAGTAGCTGGGACTACATGCATGCGCCACCATGCCCAGCTAACTTTCTGTATTTTCTGTAGAGATGGTTTGAGACCATGCCTAGGCTGGTCTCAAACTCCTGGACTCAAGTGATCTGCTTGCCTCGGCCTCCCAAAGTGCTGGGATTACAGGTGTGAGCCACTGCGCTTGGCCCCAACACCCACTGAATACCTCATAAGAGCCTGTGCTGAGGGCTAGGATGAGAGCTAAATGAACCTCATCTCCTCCTCTGGTTGGACTTCTGGGAAAGCTGGTGGGATGGGGTTAGGGAAAATGCTGTGGCTTTTTAACTCCCACTGGATAAAAATGATGGGTTTTGAAGTATATGTAGGAGTTCACCAAATATTAATTTCCCTATCTAGATGTTCAGGTTCTGAACACCATCACTCTCTAGGCCCAACAGGGATGTGTAGACTGAGTTCTCTGCTAAATTTGCTGGAGTAGAAGTTTTTGCTGAATAAATGCTTTCCAAGCCACCCAGCCTGGACTTGCTCTCTATTGACCCCCGCACCCTACCTCACTCCACTCCAGCCACACTGACCTCGCTATTCCTCAAACTCGGCGGCTCTTCTCCCGCAGGGCCTTTGCACTGGCAGTGCCCTCTGCCTGGAATGCCTTTTCCCCTGCTGGCTGGCTGGCTCCTTCTCACCAGAGGATGTGGTCCCTCTGCCTGAGGTCCAGTGTCCCGTTCTTTATAGCACCCATTGTTATTAGAAAGTATTCTGTTTGGGGCGGGGCACAGTGTCTCACACCTGTAAGGTGGGCAGATCCCTTGAGGCCAGGGTTTCGAGACCAGCCTGGCAAACATAACAAAACCCTGTCTCTACTTAAAATACAAAAATCAGCTGGGTGTGGTGGTGTGCATCTGTAGTCCCAACTACTTGGGAGGCTGAGGCAGGAGAATCGCTTGAACCCGGGAAGTGGAGGTTGCCATGAGCGGAGATGGTACCACTGCACTCCAGCCTGGGTGACAGAGTGAGACTTTGTCTCAAAAAATTAAAAAAAAAGTAGCCTGTGTTTGGACCTATAATCCCAGCATTGTGAGAGGCTGGGTTGGGCAGATCACTTGAGCCCAGGAGTTGGAATCCAGCCTGGGCAACATGGCAAAACGCTGTCTTTCCAAAAACTGCTAACATTATCCAGGTGTGGTGATTCATGCCTGTAGTCCCAGCTACTCGGGAGGCTGAGGGGGAAGGACTGCTTGAGCCCAAGAGGCCGAGGCTATAGTGAGTTCTGATCACACCACTACACTCCAGCCTGGGCAACAGAGCAAGGCCCTGTCTCAAAAAGAAAAAGAAAGGAAAAAGAGAAGGCACCCTGTTGGATGTTTTGTGCTTCTGTCTGTGGCACGTCCGTTCTAGGGTATCTGGTCCCTCCCCTCGTCAGCCTTGCTCTGCTGAATCCCCAGTGCCTGCAACAGTGTTTGGCAGGAACTTAACACTGGCTTTGTTTTGTTTTTGAGATGGGATCTTGCTGTGTTGTCCAGGCTGGAGTGCAATGGCGATCATGGCTCACTGCAGTCTTGACCTTCTGAGCTTGGTCCTTCTGCCTTAGACTCTCAAGTAGCTGAGACTGCAGGATGGTGCCACCATGCCTGACTGATTTATTTTTTGTAGAGACAGAATTGTGTGATGTGGCCCAGGCTGGTCTCAAACTCCTGGGTTCAAATGATCCTCCTTCCTCAGCCTTCCAAAGTGGTTAGAAGCGTGAGCCACTGCACATGGCCTATATATGTATTTTGAATGAATGAATGAGCTGATGGATAATGGAAGCTCTTCTTTATCCTGAGCTGCATATGGACTCAAAGGGACCCATGGACTTTGGAGTTGGGGGGTTTGAATTTGAATCCCAGCTCCAGCATTCACTGGCTGTGTGACCTTGGGTGAGTTGCTCAACCTCTCTGAACCTCAATGTCCTCATCTGTAAACTGGGAGCAATCATTGTCAGGGTTGGGAGTGACCATTCATGGGAAACATGTAGCTGGGGGCCTGGTACCTACTAAGTGCTTGAAAAATTATGCAGGAGACTGGCCATCCTGGGGTCTCAAAACCATGGCCTGGCCTGTGTGGGCAAGAGAGTGGCCTTTGCAGCGGGTGGATAGATCAACCCTGCAGGCTCCTGACTTTTCAAGTCCTGCGAGCCCTGAGTGGTCATATGAAAGGCGGGCACTGTGGTCCTCTGCGCACAGCGGCCTCCTGGGGGTGGAATCACTGAGCAGGCACCGTGGGTTGCATCCCCGGGGACTGGTGAGGCCCGGCCACTTACCAGGTGAGGGTCAGTGTGCTGGGGTGGAGGTTCCACATCTCCAGGATGCAGATGACCGTCTGGAGGTAATCTGTGTAGCAGACGAGGGCGGGGCAGCCCCAGCCTGGAGGATTATGGGGGAGAGAGGCCTAAGTGAGGGGGGGTGGCTTGAGACTGCAGGGCTTCCTCTCCACCCCCTCAAGGGCTGGAGAAAGAGTGGGTGCAGGGTCCCTGGGCCTGAACGAATGTGAGGACCCAAGGGCTGCTAAGGTGTAAGCCTGGGGCTTCACCACCTGAGAATTCCTTGTCTGAGCGCCAACCTTTCAAGGCTGGCTATGAAGATGGCACACTTGTGATGGCAAATAATAGAAAACTAGCTGGTCCCTACCCCAGAGCCCTGCACCCGGCCCCTAGGTCTATGTCCCCCCAGCCAAGCTCCCACTCAGAATGGCAATATCCTAAATGCCTGGGCTCTGCAGAAGCTGGTTCCATAGGACACGCACCCTCGGAGATTCAGGAAGTGCTCCAAGGAGTAGGAAAACTGTGAGAGAACTGAGAAGCCCTCCAACACTTTTGCAGAAACGTCTGCGTTATCCTACGGCCAAAAATGACACCTCTACCGCCACCAAGAAGTCATCAATGTATTGCCCTATGAGGCAATATTGCTGGAAGACTTAGTGCCTTTTCATCCCACTCCCAAACATTGTTTCTCTGTGTTCTAAAACAGGGATGCAATCATCATCTAAATTTTGTTAAATGTTGGACAAGATCAATGGAATAATTTGTAGTTTTGTTTTGTATATTCGAATGCCAATTCCACTATTTTTTGCTGCTATTTACTAGAAACCTGTACCTTCCATCTCTTTTTTTTTTTTTTTTGAGATAGGATCTCTCTTTCTGTCATCCAAGCTCGGAGTGCAGTGGTGCGATCTCAGCTCACTGCAGCCTCTACCTCCTGGGCTGAAGCAATCCTCCCACTTCAGCTTCCCAAGTAGTGGGACTGTAGTTGTGTGCCATCATATGTGGATAATTCTTGTGTTTTTGTAGAGATGGGGTTTCACCATGTTGCCCAGGCTGGTCTCAATCTCCTGACCTCAAGCGATCCACCCACCTCGGCCTCCCAAAGTGGTGGGATTATGAGCATGAGCCATCATGCCTGGCCTGTTCCTCTTTTTAAGTGGGTTCATTTTCAGTGGATTTTCCTAATTTTCCTTCACTAATGGAGACCCACGTGGTGGTGATGGTGGTACATTCTCTTCTTGGCTCTCACTCTAGGACAGAACCTGTATTCGGAGTCAAGAATACCGTGGCTGGAAACATCCTTTAGTCCATTTTAGAGATGAGAACACTGAGGCTCTAAGACTAGACCACTTTGCCCTTCTGTCCCTTCTGCCATATGAGAACCCAGCTTGCATCCGCTCTGGAGGGTGCAACATTCAAGTTGGCATCTTAGAAGCAAAGATGGGGGCTGGGTATGTTGGCTCAGGCCTGTAATCCCCGCACTTTGGGAGGCCAAGGTGGGCAGATCATTTGAGGTCGGGGTTCAAGACCAGCCTGGCCAACATGGTGAAACCCCATCGCTACTAAAAATACAAAAATTAGCCATGTTGTGTGCCTGTAATCTTAATTACTCAGGAGGCTGAGGCATGAGAACCTCTTGAACCCATGAAGCAGAGGTTGCAGTGAGCTGAGATTGCACCATTGCACTCCAGCCTGGGTGAGAAAGCAAGACTCAGTCTCAAAAAAAAGAAGAAGCAAAGATGGGGCTATCACCGGAACCAAAGCTGATGCCTTGACCTTGGACTTCCCAGCCCCCACAACTGTGAGCAATACATGTCTATTATTTATAAATGACCCAGTCTCACGTATTCAGTCACAGCAGCACAAATAGACTAAGATCCCAAGAGCAGGGAACAGATCCCAGCTCTGCCTCTGCCCAGTGATGTGGCCAGGCACCTGTCCCTTAGGCTCTCTGAGCCTCAGTTTCCTCAACTGAAAGCTGGGCATCATTACAACAGGGGCCTTGCGGGGCTGTTGGGAGACTGGAATGAGATGATGCTCCGAGCTCTGCCTGCAGCCCGGGCTTGTTAGCTGCACCTGCCAGATGTGGAGCTACTGTGGGTGACCCAAAGGCGTTTTAGAACCCAAACGGGGATGGTCGCCACTCAGAAAGGGAAAATCAAAGTTTGACATCTGTTTCCTGAACGAGCTATTTGAGGTGCTGAGTCTTCTGGTAAAAACCAGAGAAAAATGCCCATGAGTCAGCAGAGCAGCCATTCAGTTCCTCCCTTGCCCCTAGGCCGGCCTCCACACAAGCCTGTGCTGGATCTTGCCTCCTTGTGGCCCCCTCCTCTAGGAAGGCCCCCGGGATCTCTTAGTCCTAGATAGCGCCCCCCTCAGTCAGATTCCTGCCCTTCTCAGCTCTGCTTTCTAACATGGTCCCCTCTGACCTCAACATCTGGTCCCCCGGAAGGCTGCCTACCAGGATTTGGTCTCCGTTTTTTAATTTTTTTATTAAGACAGAGTTTCGCTCTTATTACCCAGGCTGGAGTGCAATGGCGTGATCTCGGCTCACCACAACCTCCGCCTCCTGGGTTCAGGCAATTCTCCTGCCTCAGCCTCCTGAGTAGCTGGGATTACAGGCATGTGCCACCATGCCCAGCTAATTTTTTATATTTTTAGTAGAGACGGGGTTTCACCACGTTGACCAGGATGGTCTCGATCTCTTGACCTCGTGATCCACCCGCCTCGGCCTCCCTAAGTGCTGGGATTACAGGCGTGAGCCACCGCGCCCGGCCTCTGTCTCCTTTTGGCTCTTCCTCCCATCCCCAACCCAGGGGCCACCAGTGCCTGCTAAGAATCCAGCGATTGTTTTTGTTTGTTTGCTGTTGTTAGACAGGGTCTCGCTCTGTGACCCAGGCTAGATGGAGTACAGCGCTGTCACCCTGGCTCACTGCAACCTCCACCTCCCGGCTTCAAGCAATCCTCCTGCCTCAGCCCCTAAGAAGCTGGAGCTACAAGTGTGTGCCACCATGCCTGGCTTTTCTTCTTCTTCTTCTTTTGTAAAGACAGGATTTTGCCATGTTGCCCAGGCAGGTCTCAAGCTCAAGTGACCTACTCCCCGCCTTGGCCTCCCAAAGTTCTGGGATTACAGGTATGAGCCACCCTACCCAGGCCAGAAATTGTTGAACAACATTTCCAAGGAGAGTCATTACAGAAGGAGAAACCGAGGTTAGACGGAAGGCAGAACTTCCTCACTCAGAGAGTTGGGAGCCAGCCAAGGCAGAGCGCAGGGGAAATAAAGGATGAAGTCTCTCATCCCCACAGCGGCACCCGAAGACACAGCCCTTGGGCTGAGCCACCTGAGACTCACATGTACCACTTCTGGTTCATGGAGCGCTTTGGTGGATGGACTCTGGTTAGTGGAGAGCTGGCTACTGGTGTTGTGTCAGGCTCAAGGGCACGGGTACCATCCATACTGGATCTGTGGACTCTAGCTGTGTTTTTGCACCCACAAAGCCAGCACAGCCCCACTCAGCTCTAGGATGGGGGCCCTCCCCACCTGCAGACCACGGGGCAGCCACTTACCTCCCTGGAGCAGCAGCATGAGCAAGGGGACAGCCGAGCCAAGCAGCATGCTGACTCCCACGGACCTGCAAGAGACGATAGCCAAGGGTGAGCCCAGGCAGGGTTCACAGCTCCCCCTGCCTCCCGTCATCCTGTCTCTTCCCAGGCAGACTTGCCCCAGATTCTTGGAACTGTCTTAAGAAAAAAGCAAGATCCTGGGGGCCCCTGTGGATGACCCCAAGAACTCCCACCTCTTAGAAATGGCAGATTCACCCAGAGAATCCCTTCTACCTTCTTCCTGCCCCGCCATCACATCACAAATGCGAAGTGAATTTACTTTATGATTTTATTTTAATATTTTTAGAGATGGGGTCATAATCTGTTGCCCAGGCTGGAGTGCAGAGGCACAATCACGGCTCACTGCAGCCTCAACATCCTGGGCTCAAGTGATCCTCCTGCATCAGCCTCCTGAGTAGCTGGGACTAAAGGCACATGCCACCATGCCCGGCTCATTTTGAAAATATTTTTGTAGAGATGACGTCTTGCTATGTTGCCTGGACTGGTCTCAAACTCCTAGGCTCATGTAATCCTCCTCCTCCGCCTCTCAAAATGTTCAGATGACAGGTGCGTGCCACCATGCCCCGCAGGTGACTGGAGATTGCTGACTATTTTGCCTTTGCTGAGCCTATCGATATAGCATTGTGTATGAAATTAAACTTCTGTATTTATCTATCTAAAGAAGAAAGAAGGCCGGGCGCGGTGGCTCACGCTTGTAATCCCAGCACTTTGGGAGGCTGAGGTGGGCAGATCACAAGGTCAGAAGTTCGAGACCAACCTGACCAACATGGTGAAATCCGGTCTCTACTAAAAATACAAAAATTAACTGGGTGTGGTGGCGCATGCCTGTAATCCAGCTACTCAGGAGGCCGAGTGAGGCAGGAGAATCGCTTGAACCTGGGAGGCGGAGGTTGCGGTGAGCCGAGATCATTCCATTGCAACAAGAGCAAAACTCCGTCTCCAAAAAAAAGAAAGAAAGAAGAAAGAAGGAGGGAAAAAAAGAAGGGGGGGAGGGAGACAGGGAAAAAGAAAGAACTAGTTTGTAAAGTAGCATCTGCTGAGAAGCAATTTTCACCTTCCTTCCCATAAACATCCAAGTTAATAGCCCAATAAATTGGCTTTTTTTTTTTTTTTAATTTGACAATGTCTCACTCTGTTGCCCAGGCTGGAGTGCAGTGGTGCAATGTTGGATCACTACGACATCTACCTCCTGGGTTCTAGCAATTCTCCTGCTTTAGCTTCCCAAGTAGCTGTGGTTACGGGTCCCCACCACCACGCCCAGCTAATTTTTATATTTTTAGTAGAGATGGGGTTTCACCATGTGGGCCAGGCTGGTCTCGAACTCCTGACCACAGGTGATCTGCCCGCCTCAGCCTCTCAAAGTGCTGGGATTATAGGCATGAGCCACTGTGCTCGGCCATCAATAAATCGGCTTCTTACTGAATAATAAATCCAAAGTTAGCCCACAAAGGAGATCCCTGCTGAATACTTAAGATAATGTTAGCTCAGTAATGAGCCTTCTTAATCCATCACAAAGCCCAGATTGGCCCATAGGGGAGCATGCTAGGAAATCCAGGCCCGACCAAACAGAGGCAACCCGACCTCCTAATTCGGGCCAGGATGAAGAAGGAACCTCTTTGGGGAACAGAGTGAGCTTATCCGGGAAGAGTAGCATTTGCTGTCTTGGGCGGAGGAATGACCCACCAGGCTGGTGATGCCAGGCTCCTCCTGGGACTTGTCTATTTCACCCACCAGCTCTATGTCTGTTTGGGGAAGTGCCAGCCAGAGGGCAGTGGTCCACCTGCCCAGAATCAGAAGCCCTTCCTAGACCAGCCCCTGCAGACAAGAATGGAGCTAAAAGCTCTGCCAGGCGTGGTGGCTCACGCCTCTAATCCCAGCACTTTGGGCGGCCGACGTGGGTGGATCACGAGGTCAAGAGATTGAGACCATCCTGGTCAACATGGTGAAACCACGTCTCTACTAAAAATACTAAAGTTAGCTGGGCATGGTGGTGCATGCCTATAATCCCAGCACTTTGGGAGGCTGAGGTGGGTGGATAATGAGGTCAAGAGATCGAGACCATCCTGGTCAACATGGCAAAACCCCGTCTCTATTAAAAATACAAAAGTTAGCTGGGCATGGTGGCGCACGCCTTTAGTCCCAGCTACTTGGGCGGCTGAGGCAGGAGAATTGCTTGAACCCAGGAGGCAGAGGTTGCAGTGAGCTGAGATCGTGCCATTGCACTCCAGCCTGGGTAACAAGAGCAAAACTCCATCTAAAAAAAAAAAAAAAAAAGAATGGCGCTAAAAGCTAAACCGAAGAGAGATGCCCCCTGCAGGAAGCAAGTGATAGGCTGGCTTTCTCTAGGCGCCATTTCCACAAAGGGAAGACCCGCCGCCTCTGTGCCAGGATCTTCCCAAAGATACTGGCCCCATCCACAGATCCCTCGGACCTCCTTCACAAAGTCACCAAAGAACCAGTGATGCAGGGCATGGGCTGGGAGCCAGGGAGGTTCAGATGACCAGCTGTGTGGCTCCAGGTCAGTCCCCCGCCTGCTCTGAGCCTTGTAACGTGGAAACAGCAAGGCCTGCTGCCAGGCTTCTTGTGAGAATTCAAGGAGGTGATTTGCATAAAACCCTGGGCATGGCCCCCATCGCATAAACACTCGACTAGCAGCTGTAATTGATAAGAATGTAGAGCATCAGAAATGGAGCGGTCTCAGAGTGATCTAGCCAAGAGATGCCCAAATATCTCACTTCCAAAATTTTAGCCCTATTGGTACAGTGTGTGCACTGTTGTTTATTCTAATATATATTTTAATATATTTTCTATAAATAAGTTCACTTAAAAATGTAACTGCAGCATCATCCTAAGCAATGGCATCGCTACTCAAATAAAATAACGCTGGGGCAGATGCAGTTTCAATCTGCTTTTAGGAATATGGAGCTTGTGTGAATCCAACCCCTGCAGAGGCCCCATTACCATGCTTTGAAGATGTGGCCTCTGATCGCAGGAGGGGGAGCCTGTGTCTGTCCCCCCGCTATTCTGTCCACATCCATCACCCCAGCCACAGCATGACCCCTGACACAGCTCTGTCCCCGTCACTCCCTGATGGCTTTATCTTGACCACACACAGCACAGCAGAAAGTGTGAATTCCTTTGCCCAGGTTCAAGATTCCTCATCCCCACCTTGACCAACATAGCAAGACCTTGTCTCTACCAAAAATAAAAATAGAAGTAAAAACACGTTAGCCAGGTGGTGCACCCCTGTGGTCTCAGCTACTCAGGAGGCTGAAGAAGGAGGATTGCTTGAGTGTAGGAGGTCCAGGCTGCAGTGAGCCATGATTGTACCACTGCACTCCAGCCTGAATGAAAGAGTGAGGCCCTGTCTTTAAAAAGGCAAACAGACCAAAAACTCCTCATTCCTCCTAATTTCTTACCTCTGCCTATATCACAGAGCACTAGGGATATGGACGGGGTGCCTGCTGCTGCTGCCTGCCCAGCGTCTCTTCCCAAAGAGCTCCTTGATCTGAGCTGCGTTTAGTGGTTTCCATCAGGCTGACTCCACCCCATGCCCCACAAAGTGGGCTCCTGACCCACTCTTGGCCAATCAAAGCAACCCATCTGTCTGACCACAGTGATTGCATCAGGGATGGATGTCAACTTGGGCACCGAGTTTGTTTTTTTTTTCTAGAAAACTGGCAATCTTTTTGGTGTCTGTGGAGAGCTTGTAGCCATCTTTGTTCCCTCTTAGAGAGAGCCTCCTTGAAAAATGACATCCATACTGAGAAATACAGATCAAGAGTCCCCATGACATTATATGAGGTCCTGGATTCAGCCATATCTGATGTCCACCCTGTGGACTTCTCATTTCCATGAGCCAAAAACCACCTATGTTGCTCAATAATGTTGAAGTCTATGTCTGTCGCTTGCCACCAAAGATCCATGACAAAGTGGAATAGAGAAAAGGGCTCAGAATTTGAAACCAGAAGATCTTGAAGCCGACAGTAGCTCTTCTCTGGCTCTTTTACTCTCCGAACTCAGCTGCCATCTCTGAAATGGGGACCATAGTGCTCACTGCACCTGGCGGTGAAGGAGAGGCTGTGAGAAAGCAGATGTGGTAATGCTTTGTGGACTGTGAAGAGCTGTACCGGTCCACAGGTTTCCTGCCATTACTGGCTGACTGCCCTGAATGACTCATTGTCTCCCCGGCAGCCCAGGCTCTGTCATGCGTCTCTGCCTCTGCCAGAGCAGACTCCTCCCCTTCAACACCTTTCCCCTCCCACCCTCTCAACTCAGCTTTTACAGTCCACGTGCTGTATCGCTGCAGCCACGCTGGAGTGTTCCAGAGCTCCTGCCACTGGTCTGTTGGCTTTGAGGTTGTCGTTGGTGCAATTAATTATCCACTTGCTATTGAGCTTAACTTGCCTTCTATTTGTTACTGCAATAACCATGTCTCAAAAAGTATTATATCACAACCATCAACAGATAACTGGCACGAAATAGACAGACAGTGTATGCCATGCTGGTTAAGACACAGGCTGCGGAGCTGGCGGGTCTCAGTTCAAATCTCCTCTCTGCCACTTACAGGCTTTGTGGCCTCGGGCAGTTTGCTTAACCTCTCTGGACCTCAACATCCTCATCTGTAAATGGGAATAACAATAATCACAGTACCTGCCTCATAGGTCCCTGGGAGAATTAAATTAGTCAACATTTATAAAGCATTTAGAACAGTGCGCGGCATTTACTAGATGTTATATAAATGTTACTTAAACAGAACAATCAACTTTTCATAAAACTAAATACAATAAAACGTAACAACTAAATACAAGAGAATCAAAAGCAGCAATTGAAATTTAGTGAGATGCTACTACCTGCCTGAGAGTCCTAGAAGCTGGACATGTGGTTTGTCTTTGTTTAAACTTAAGAAAGGGAGGCCAGGCACATTGGTTCATGCCTGTAATCCCAGCACTTTGGGAGGCCAAGGTGGGAGGGTCATTTGAGGTCAGGAGTTTGAGACCAGCCTGGC